TAAAATTAATAATTTTAATAATAAAAAATAAAAATATTTTAAAAAATACATTTTTTTGTTTTTAAACATGTCCTTATTAGTCATTTGATATTAAACAACAACCGCTAACTATTGTATAACTAAACAATTATATTTATCGAATCCGTTATTTACCATCCGCTACCCACTTTCCGCTATCCGCCATCCGCCATCCGTTACCTGCTACAGCTATCCGCTATCTACTACCCGCTATCCGTTGAATTTTAACCGCTACACGCTACAGCTATCCGCTACCCACTATCCGCTGAATTTTAACCGCTGTATCAAACAGGCCCTAAGTATCATGGTTGCAAGTATATAGTTAAGTATATAATGTTTTTATACTTTATTAAATGATATAAAAAATATGTTATATAATTTATTGTACGAACGATTAACTATAGAGGCCATTCAAAAATATGAAGAGGATAGAACTAAATGGCCAACAATATTTGATGCTTAACTTTTATCCAAATTTTCGAGTGGACCTTCCAAGGATGGGTGACTTTATGGAATGCCAATTTACATGTACCCTACTAAGCAAAGGGTCTCACACTATAAGTGTCCACATGCCATACTTGATAGTTCTGTTCAACCATCTCAATGAGTGGAACAATTACAACAAATTGTGACAGAACTATAAAAGAATCAACTAACATTACAAGAGAAGGTTAATAGGATGGAAAGGATTTTTTATGATGCAGGGAGGAGGAGGAGCTAGTACAAGTGGAGGAGCAAGTACAAGTGGAGGAGCATAACTGACTTTGTCTTAAGTTGATCTTTGTATTGAAAACATCTTTTACTATTGTATGCATGGATATGTATGACAATTTGGACATGTAAAACTAGGACATATAGTATTTTAATTAGTATTTTAGGACATGATACTTAATTATGAAATTGGGTTAACTTTTATACTTATATGTTTCTAGGTAAACTTTTTAATTGGATGTTTTAATATATATTTAGAAATATTTTAATTAGTTGAAAGTGAAAAAAAAAGGAAATGTTAATAGTAGGAAATACAGAAACCAAAAAATAGGAAACATCTTTGAAAGGCTGTGCTCATTAAGATTGACCGAAATATGATAATATTTAATTCGGTCAACTATTATGATCAAAATGCACATACATTTGGTCAAATATTTTGATCGAAAATTGGTCTTATTACACCGGCTATTGATCCCCTCACCAAAAAACCATATTGAAAATAACATAATTTTTTAAGTTTTATTGTAACATTATATTTTTCATATAATAGAAGTGCAAGCATATTATATTTTGTGTGTTACTCAAGCATTATTATATTTTCATTATATTGTAACAATACCCTACACAATTATTGATTTCATCATTAATAGGTGCCTTTTCAAAAATATTTCTTCATCCTACATAATCCTTATATTATAAGACAATATATATATATATATATATTTTTTAAAGGGTCAATTACTTGGTATTATAGAAATTTAAACCTTTAATTTTGATTTTAAATTAAGATTTTTAAGTTAATAGGTACCAATTCAGTAGAAGTTCCTCTTATTTCCAAAGACATAATATGTGATCAATTTAAATTTCAAAATTTAGTATATAAATTTTCTATACGAAAGAAGTTACTATAGAAATAATTATGTCCATGTCAAAATCAAATAAATTCTCCTTTTCCACGGCCATTCACGTATCTCTTTTATTCATTTTAAACAAATTCTACCCTATCAAGGAGATTTAATCTTAAAAAGTTTTCCTTTTTAATTCACAATGTCACGCCCTAGAACCCAAATTCGGGGACATGGTAGATGCCGTACATTTTTGAGAGGATCCCACAAATGCACAAGGCTCGGAATTTATCATACTACAATCTGATACCACAAAATCTGAAGATAAAATTTTAAAGCTTGCCCTCATATCATAAAATCTCCAAATAAAATCTAGTTTATAAGATCATGATTTACATCTAAACTCTATGTTCAATTTACAAGATGGCTAGCCTTCTAACTTATCACTCCCCTCGTTTTTCCCCGTCCTTGACTTCGCTTTCTGAAATGATGGACAAAGAAAAAATATGAGATAACTCAATAAGTAAATATAGATAGCCCTTGGGTAAAATTTTGGTTATATCCCCGATTCAGTCCCTCAACTTTCATTTTTGGACTAAAACTACCCTCAAACTTCAAAAAGTACTAAAAAAATCCTTAAACTTCAATTTTTGGGACCAATTTTGTCCTTCCGTCAGTTAATTGCTGACGTGACAAAATTTTCGGTTAACAAATTCAATTTTTATTAATATTAAATATTACTTTGAAATAAAATGAGTGATGTGGCATTTTTAATTATAAAATTATTGTGATTTAGCAAAAAAATATAATTTAATAAATAAAAATTTCTTTTCTTTCTTTTTTTTCTTTCCTTTTCTTTTTTTCTCTCCTTCTCTTTCCTTTTCTCCTTCCCCTCCCTACTAGGTTCGAAGGAACCCAGCACCAACGCGCGGGTTCCTCGAACCCAGGCGCGGGTTCCTCGAACCCACGCGCAGGTTCCTTGAACCTAGGACGCCTGGGTTCCAAACCCAGCGCCTGGGTTTGAGTCGAACCCGCCTGGGTTTTTTTGTTGTGTTTCTTTGTTGGCTTGCAATCATGCTTGAATGGGATTTAGAGTTTTGTGTTGCTTCTGATTGCTTGAATTTCCAGATCTAGTTACTGTCGATGTTGATTGAAAGAATGTTGTGTTTTCTTTACAGATCTGATATACATTTGTAAAGGAATTGATTTTTTGAATCAAATCTATTGATCATTATTATTATTGTGCGAGGAACCAGATTTGAGTTCTATTAGAAAGGAGGTTTGGGGAAGAAGTAGATGCAGATTGAAGTGGTAATAGATGATCGGAGCAATGAGGGATGATCGGTGTTGATTGGGTTGCAAGATGAGAAGACATCTGAGAATAGAGAAAGACAAGAGGTGATGGAAGATGAAGATGGGGGTATTTAAGGAATTTAAAATTTTTTAATATATAAATTAATTAAAATGACGTGAACTAAGTTATTTTCCACGTAATTAAAGATTTCAAACAAAAATTGATTTCGTGGCAACTTAATGTGCCATCTGGCACTTCCGTCGACGAAAGGACGAAATTGGTCTCGAAAATTGAAGTTTAAGGATTTTTTTAGTACTTTTTGAAGTTCGAGGGTAGTTTTAGTTCAAAAATGAAAGTTGAGGGACTGAATCAAGGATATAACCTAAAATTTTTAGCATGCTTGATAAACAATTTAACATAACAAAACGTTCAATGATAAATTGTTAATGTAGAATCAACTTCAGTTCAATAACAAAGCGTTCAATGACAAAACCGTTAATGCAGAAGAAAATTCAGTAGTAGTCTCATCTATAAGTCATGGCCAACCTCTAACACCCACTGGCAGGTGTCAAAAATTACCAATGTGTTCGTCCATTGGCAGGTATCAGTAATTACCAGTGTTTAACAAACTCCCACTGGCAGGCGTCAGTAATTACCAATGTATGATCCCATTGGCAGGATTACAGAATGAACCGGTCATATCAGTAAATATGTCGACATGTGCTAGCATTTGCAAACTCCCACTGATGGGCGTCAGTAATTATGACTATATCAAAGACAAGACCAAGTAGGATTTACAAAAAAATCCATAATTCACAATCAATCTCAAATTTCAGAAATAAACAGGAAAATTTCCATGTGAACATGGATTTAACAGAAAAATCAGAATTTACAAAATTCTCAGTTCATCAGGGCAGTTTAGTCAATTCCAAGTAAGCATGCTCTACTCAATGCAAATGAAAACAATTTCATTTCAAACAAATCATGCTCGGTGCAAATAAAATCAATTTAAACCTTTCCACCATCTCAAAAACAATTTAAAACATGCTTTGAAATCAAAGGGCGTTACCATAATTTACTTACCTCAAATCCGTGATACCGAAAACTCAAGCCAAGTGCTCGGGTGACAAAACACTCAAGAACCTAATCAAAATACCCTAGAATTAATACGGTGCTACCACAAATTCAAAGTGAAAACTTCATTAGGATCACCCCCTAATCAAGATGCTATTTCTATCGGTCTCCACATGACCGGACATCTCCAAATTTGTTCTTATATTACAAACTAAACATTTAATCCCGTTAATTGTTGCCGGCAATAACCCCCAATAATGCAATTTTATTTTATTCTATTTTTCTTCCTTTTGAATTTAAGCACAAAATCAAATTGTTTATTTATATATACACATAAATACACATGCATAATTTTCCAAATCCCACAGACAACATGGAGGAACCGGACTTGGCAAAGCAATAACTAATTCATGGGATTTTCTCTAGACATCACAGCAGCCTAATTAACAAAATTTCTACATAAACCAAGCACAAAAACACATTTAAAATGCTGCTAAATTCTTCCCTTGTTTTGGCAGAAATTTTTCGACAG